TAAAAATTTGAGAATTGAATCACACACACACACACACACCCAGCACTGATCAGGGCAAGCAAGGATATAGCCAACACTTTGCAGACTGTGATACATTCTCCAATCTTCTTTTTACTACTCATGTCACAGAAAGGTAGAATACAAGGAGGGAACATTGGAATGGTTAAGCAGCCTATCATCAGCTCTGATAGGGGAAAGAAGGAAGAAATGTACTTTTTGGCAAAGGAATCTGATAAGTTTCTGGTTGGGTTATGTTTTGGCACCATCCCTTGACATCAATTCAGAACAGAAATGAGGAAGAAGCTGCAACAATTTTGTTGCACATGATCCCAAAATTTGACTAGGAGGAAAAAATGGCACCTCCATGCCACAGCTGTCCTGACTGGTTTACTGGAACCATCGATTCACTCAACTGCACACAATATTGTGTGAGTAGCTACCATGGAGGAAGCACAGCCATAGCTGAGAACAGAACAGAAGATTGCTTCTGAGATGCTGGAATTTACTAGAATATGCACCCGAGAAACAAGGGAACAGAAGTAGGACTAGGGTCTGCCAGAAAACAAGAGGTAGCCTGATTATGTAGCTGAACGCAGTACACAGGAGGAAAGTGTCAACCAAGAAAGAGACAGACAAGTGCAAAGAGAACAGCACAGAGGTCCTTACAAAGAAGCAGGCAACTGACTACTGGATAGAGAGAGAAGTCTCAGGCCAGGGGAGTGATGTGTGAACATACCCTCATGTGATGGGTCAGGTGAGAGGCAGAATGAAGGGACACCAGGAATAAATGACCAATGCCTTCAGAAGCAACCCTATTATTGGCAAGACAGCATTAAGAAGCTACTAGAAAAAGCGAGGCTCTGAGATGAAGGGTTACCTTAAGTAAGACAGAAGTCTCAAAGCTCGGAGGAAGAATTTGAATGTGGCAGTGAGGCAAGGGGTACAGCAATAGTCACATCAATGAGTAAGGCACTAAGTCATGTAGGTTGGAAGGGAAGAGTGAAGAAACAGAAGATGAGGAAGGAACAGTAATTAGAAGAACACACTGTAGAACATTCGATGGCTGTCTCCACCTCATGGGGGAGGACAAGTGAAAGCCCTGGGTCATTCTAGAAAGCTCAAACTCACGTAAACACGCTCAGCCGCATGAATGTCCTTATCCCAGCTAAGACAGAGGATGTCAGCGAAGATCACTGCCAGGCTACGTACTCATGTGGGCAGCAATTATTAATAGGCAGGTATCTGGCAGGCAGAGACAGATGTCAAGCCACCAAACTCTAAATTGACAAGAAGCCATGTGATCAGAAATGCTTTAATCACCTCTCCAATCGGGAGTCTGACTCAAATTTACAAGCCTAAGTTTCAAGAAAATGAAGCAAGGAGGTAATAAATATATCTTATCAGCTCTCTGATACTTTTTTTTTGTATTGTAGACATTTTAAACATTTGCATTTCCAATTTTAGAAGTCTGCAAGTTTCCAGTTTCAGTTGAATTAATCACACTTTTCATAACATTCATTTTCATTAAAGATTTAAAAAAATATATGTAGTGCATCTCTGACTCCTGGTCTTCTCCCTAAGATCTGGTCAGGTGTGAGATGAGCCAAAGAGCCTCATCTTCAGAATTGAACGTTAGTGTCCAGATATCAGGCGCCTCATTCTGATGACCCCAAGGATGCAAAGGGATGCGCGGAGCCTCTTGACTCTCCCGGGTACCCGAGGTAAGCCCAAGTCTTTGTGAGAAGATCAGTTCTACTGTCAAGACATTCTTCTTCTCTGGAACAACAACACACCTGAACTCACTTAAAGCACGGCATTTGATCACATCAAACTGTGAGCGTGGAGGAGACACCTTGAGGGACCGGGAGGGTGGGTAGAAAACGCGATCTTCGTTCATGAGTGCGATGTGGGAGTTGAGGAGCAGCAGTGAGCTGCAGCCATGGCCATGCTGCCCCTCCACCCTGACCGTGGTGTACAGCAGTAACTGCACCTCTGCCAGGGAGGGGATGCTGCGGTCCATGTTTCCATGAAGAAAGTAAATCATATCCACCATGGTAGTCTGGAACTTGGAAGAAAATTGAATGCCATTTGCCAAAACTAAATCAGGGGTTTCTGCTTTCCAATCGAGGGAGAGCTGAACCAGATCTTGCTGGAGCAAAGGATGACTGGCACAAGCCACTGCTTCAGACTCTGGAGTCAGGATGCACAGGAGGTCACGGCACAGCTGCTGAGAGAGGTGTTTGCTGTAACTCAACACTGTGAGCAAGAGATCTGTCGTAGGGCCTAGGAACCGGACACTCTGTCCACCAAAGCCAACTTGAATCTCCCGTAATCCAGAGAAAGGAAGAGTGTGAAAAATGGTCATGGTGCCCGGGTGATTATTCACCAGAACCAAAGCAATCAAGGCTGACGAAAGCAGGAGCAGGCATGCTGGCTGGGGATCGGGTTCCGTGCAGTTGGCAACAGCAAGCCAGTAAATGCCTCTGACTTCATTCACACCTCCCAGAGGTTCCGGGAGGCAATGAGACATGTGTTCAACCAAGTCTGCTACAGGGCGCTCTTGAAGGTGCAACATTGGGTCTGGGAATTGCACAAGGGTCTGCTTATACGCACAACACTTCCTAGCACTGTCATGTCCAAGGCAGAAAACCGAGCTGGGTGATTCACCAGGTAATCCTGAAGCTACAAAGGCTAAGTGGGGCACACTGCTCTCTGCCTGCCTCGGGCTCCCTGCCTCTTCACCATGATTATTGCCAACCTGAGCTTTGGGGCAAGGATCAGCTCCTAATGCTGCCACCGCATATAACTTCGAGGGCACGTCCATGGGTAAGTGCTTCATAATTGGCAGGTTTCTGATTAAAGTCCTCACATGGGAAGTGAGCCCGCTTGAGTCCCATAAGTTGCTCACATGTCTGGCTTGGTGCATCACCTTTGTGCCAGCCTGTAGCAGCTGATGGCTGGTATCTTTATAAAGGTCTGAGAACTTGTGGTAAAAATACCCCAGTCCATACTTCCCTTCTGTCCCAATATTTGTCAATGACTCAGAAGAGCTAATGTTTTCAGCAGCCAACTCTTTCTCATCCTGTTGCTCACGACACCTAGGGACTGGAGTGCTCCCAGGAGGACTGGCAGTTGCCACCTCCTCCTGAGAGATGTTCTCTGAGAGAATAAAGCAGAGCAGTTTGCTGTGCCTGGCCTGTAAGTTCCCACCATTTAGAGACACTTCCTGGGATGCCTGGTGCAGCCAAGTCCAGCTGGACTCAACACCCAGGCTGGGTCCTTCTTGATGAGACACCAGCTTGTTGACATTTTCTGCCTTTCCCTGAACAGCTTCAGCATCACTGGTGTTGCCTTTGTGGAGAACAGAGAGTGGAGATGGATGCAAATGCTTGGGTTCAAAAAGGCCAGCATGCCCAGGAGGGAGATATTGGCACACCCTGTCCTGTAGCATCTCAGGGACCAGGGCCTGATCTCTGGGCTGCCAACCTCTCTCTTGTGATGCTGAGGAGGAAGTTTCAGAATCTGAGGTGCTCTGCATCACAGGATGACTGCAGTAGTTGCTCGAGTCCACCTCCTTCCTTGCATCTCTGAGGATGTGGGGGGCACCGATGGCATCTGTGGACAGAGGTGGGGCAAGAGACCGTGCCAGCCAAGACTGCTTGTTCTGTTCAAGATGTCAAAAAAAAAGTTGAAATGGGGATGTGACGTCACTTTCTGCCATTCTTTATGCATAGGATGCTGCTGGCAGTCATTAGTTTCATTGGGTGCATTGATTCAGAAGTCAAATTGAAAGCCTAAGCCATTCTGGTTGATTGACATATGATTCAAGAACAGATCTGATTCAAATATGTCTAACAGTTATTTCCAGATTCTACAGCTTATGAATTGCTGAGTATTTTTGATATGCAGTATAGGACTGATCCACAGTATCCGTTTCTTGGTCTTAGATTTCATTTTCTCTAAAGTAGATCCTTACGACCTTGGATTTGGTGTTTAAAAAGGTCAAACTCAGTTGCAAAAGAAAAATTCTGCAGTCATACATCAAAAAGGTTAAAAAAAAATCAGGGCATACTTAATAAATTATAAAATATTGCCCCCCAAAAATCACAATCTGAAACAGGTTATGTCGCATTCTCCTTTTGATTCTTTCTGTGGGAATCCTTAATTATGTCTGCTCGTGGTTAGATTACCATCGCTGTTGTCTACAGACTATCTCCATGGTAGGCTTTCTGCATGCCTGTCACATGTCAGGCACTGCAGACCCAGGGAAATGAGAAGCAGCATCTTGCTTTGCATCTGGTTACTTGATAAGGAGATGGGCATCGAGGGGAGGAAGATGTCACTGCTGGCAGAGGAGTGGCGTGAAGGGGTGGCCAACGTGGTCAGCTGAGCCCACTTGTGAGACATCCACCCTTTCACTCACTGTTCAGTAACATGTGGCCAATGCAATTTCTTTCCTTTTTTTTCCACTTTTTATTTAGTAAATATGTAACAGTATGGGAAAGACTATATGCCTCTCCAGTAGAGGAAAATACAAGTAAAAGGCTACAAATTGTATACCCAAATAAACCTTGGTTTCACAATGCACTAGAGCAATAAGCTAATCAATCCCAAGCATTTCCTTTGTACTACCGCCAACTCACAGTCTGTGAAATGACCAGGGTTTTTAAACATCGAGTTTAATTTCAAAACTCCATATCTGATTCTGATTATATAATTCCGCCTTTTAAATGCAGACCAAGGGAAAGGATACTGTTAGGGATGAAAAACTGGGCAAAGCTCCACCACAGCTACATGCCATTCAAATAGAGTCAAAGCAATTTCAACCTGCAGGATTCCGTTTAATTTCAAGTCCATATAATAGCTTGCCTTCCCTATTAGCCATTAATCTCACTGGGACTTCAAAATTCTAATTATGCAACTAAACATTAAGAAAATTTAATCACACATGCATGCCATAATTTAAGGCGACCCTATCAATCTGAAATATCATTACCTACCTCATATTTTAGCTTACGTTGAATGGTGCCATTGTGAAGTTTCTCATTATCCTGAAAAGAAAATAAAAAGCACTCTATATTAAATTATAGGCTGTTCCTTGGGGGGAGGTAGGGGATGATTTGAAGTATTTATGGGAATAAAATTCTAAAGAAACATACTTATTTAAAAACGACAGTCCTTCTCTATAGAATTTATATTCCCAAGGTAAGCATGACTGTATCGACCCATTTGCCTGCAAGAGAACTGAGCCACTTCATCTTACAGTTCTGATAGTAGAAGCAAATTTCCTTAGGATATTTCTTAGTTTTCAGGATAGAGATGAACTGTCTTACTTTGATAACATTCACACTTATCACAAATATGTATCTACCTGCTGAAAAGAACTACATTTCCATGCTGGATAACTTTTGAAAGTGCCTATGGAAAATGACTGCATTTGGGGAGAAAACAGAAGAATGTCATATGTACAGTTTCCATAAATCAAACTAAGAAAATATAGCACTTTAGGGGACACAATATTCACTGAAGATTTTTCAAAGAATTATAAAATGTAACGGAAAGTTACTCTTAAATAGTTGCTACACTGTTAAGCTCCACCCGAGCAAAATCATAACACTTAAACAATATTGAAGATTTTTGTAGAACATTCCATCTCTAAATTCTGTCAGTGAGAAACAGTCATGAAGGATCTCACCACTGCCACCACCACGGAGAGCTTTTCTTTAAGGCCATCCATGAAGGGTTACGGCTGTACGGCTTGGCTACTTCCACTTACTTTCCTCGCATCCGCAGGGGTGGCGCTGTCCTCACTTGGCCCACGATGAAGATCCTGAAGACGCCTTTGAACTTCTTCTTCGATGTAAGCATTGATCCTGAGAACGGTGCAGGCGGGATGAATGTGAATATTGCAGACCACACAGGTTATGCATTTTGATAGAAAATCCTCATCGCGGGGAGTTTCCTCATGCTGTACATCCAGTACAACAAACTGAGATCTTTATTATCCAAACCTTTTTGGGGCTTCCCTAGTGAAACTCCCGCTACAGAGAAGCACATCACCACTGACTTCCGGAGCTTCTGCAGTTCTCGCGCTGCCCCTGGGCAGGACATTTCGCTCCCTAAGTCTTAGTTTTTTTACACAAAAGGATGACATCAATGGCAGTTGCTTTTCTTTAATGGCAAGGTCATTTATAAAATCATAATAAAGAGTGGCTGTGTGAGGATACTTCAAAAGATCTGGAAAAAATGCAACTAGAAGGTAAGTTTATTTTGGTGCAAACATCTCAAAATTCATGAGTACTTTTTTCAAAATACATTTTTTTTTTTTACTTTCAAAGACACCCTGTACATACGCATTTAATGCTTTTGTTTTTACCAACATAACCTTTTACTTCCATTTTCAAGTTACTCTCTATGAATCTTTAATTATGCAAATCAGACAATGTCCTTTCCTTCTTGCACTGCTACTGGTCTCACTAACCCAAAGACAGTACCATTGAGGGTATCAGCATTTCAAAGTGTCTATGGACAAGGCAGTCACAGGGCGGAAGTCAGAAGCCATTGAGTTTTGAAGCTCTTGTCAGTTAAGCTCTCTAGTGCTCCACAGAAGGTGGGTAAAGTGAGTGGCGTGAAAGAGCCAGCCTTAATCAGTCCTGAGCACTTTCAGCCCAATATCTGCTCTGTCTTTGGGTGAGTCCACCAAAGAAAACAGAGACTGGATCATTGTAGTTTCGTGAAAAATCTCTGTCCTAGCTCCTCCGCCTCAAGTTAACAGACACTGATGATTTTAAATGAGATGCTTCCCACGCATACACCTTAGCATACTACTCAATCAGTAAGTCTGGCTTCATCCTGCTAAGCACATGCATATTAAATGCAATAAACATTTTTATACCTCTGAGTAAAGACAATGCTCGAGTTTTCTCAAATGGTAGGCAAAAGATTACTATTTTAGGTACAATAGTCCAAATAAAGTACAATATTTACTCTTCAGCATTGAAAACAAAATCAAGAGCAGTTGATCATAGGCCAAGGCTATTTACTGATGGTCTCTCCTGATCATCACTTACATCTTAAATTGGTCCCAAAGGTGATGTGGACCTAGCTTTTGAAGGATTATAGAGACTCATGCATTCTGGAATTCAAGTACATTATCTCCTCATACCTAGGCATCAAGATCTGCCCAATTTGGAATGTCCTTATGACATGGATGGAATGGAAGAAAAATCTTGTTTTTTCTCTTCCCAGGTAAAAGATTGCAGTGATTTACCTGAGAACTCTAAGCCACAGTGTAATCAGCAAAGCCACCTTATTTGAAAATCATATTAATTATGTTACCCTACTCATGGTCATTCTGAACAAACCAGATTCAGTAATAAACTTGAACTCTAGGTGACTTCCACTGATGAACTGTCAGCACAAAGGCCTTCTTTCCTTGTCTTTGTTCTTTTCAACCTGACCTCACAGCCCTGGAGGAACTGGTTCCCCTGATTGTTTAATTCCAGCTCCTCATAGGAAATGTTCAGAGCAAGAATCATTGGATTTGGCCAAGGAGCTCTCAGGTCCTTGGTGTTCTTCCAATGACCCTTCTGTCCAGTACTGACCAGGCATCAGCTGACAAAGAGCACATCTGGGGCATAAGCACCACCTGCTGCCTTCAGCGGACCCCTCCCTCTGCAGGCTGGCTAATACGGGTACAGTAAGTCATTCACATCACATTAGATGAAAGCATGACATGCTCAACGCTGAGTACCTGGCATCCATCAGGGGCATCAGGTGTGGTTTGTCAGCACTGGATGGCAAGTCAGCAGCAGCAGCCTTCCTCTCCAGCATCCCAGCATGATCTCTTTGGGCACCATCAACCTCACAGATCTTTTCCTTCAGCTTTTGGATTTCATGCTCTAATCTATAGATATAGAAACCACATGGATTCATGCATTAGTAATCTTTCCTGAGGTTTTTCACTGTGGGAGACTTTGTTCTACAAAACAAGAACCTTGTGTGCAAAGAGCTTTACAAAGAAATAGGAATCCGTTTTGGCTAAGTTAATGAAAAAGGGAAGCAATAGACAAATTTATGAAAGTAAGATGAGGTCAATGAGAAATCAGAGTAAGCTAGGATTCTGGAACCAAAAGTTTATCCCCATTGGCAAATGACACATAAAATAAGCAGTCACATATATGTGAGGTCATTTTGCTGCTGACTGAGGCATGCTTAAATGTATAGCCACTGAGGCTGAGAACCATGCTTGCCAGTAAATTTGGCCCCAGAAAAGAAGAGACCTAGCTAGAGGCTGTATCCCACTTCCTGTATTAACTTGGCCAAGTTATTTAAGCCTATGTCTTAATTTCTTCATGGATCACATGTGGAACAGGCACTGAATGTGTCTCAATTCTAGCTTCATAGCATGATGCCATGAGCTTTCTGATGTCAACAATGGCAACATGATGCTATCCTGAGCAGAAAAGCCCAGTTCTTAACTCACGGGGATGGGACCACAGGGTCACAAGGGATGCACCCTTGTGACTGGATTCCACAGGAGGTAGTGCCAGCTTCACTTGGGTTTCTCTGACTACTGCATGGCCTCAGCATCAACTTGCACAGCATATGGTATTTTCCAGAGATGGGAATGTGCCTAAAACAGTGATTCAAGGACAACTATATTAATGGGATCTTGGCAATCCCAAGAAAATGAGTAGGACGTGAGCAGGTAATTAGCAATGCCTTGAGTTAAGCAGGAGCCTGCTAGGGTTACTCAGAGGGGACTTTCAGTGCTAGGACAGTAAAGAAGACTTCACAGAAAGGGGCCCATGTGTGGGGGGTGTTGCAGGCTGGGTGAGATTTCTATGCGTGACAAGGGACACACAGGGTATCCCAAGAAAGGTATCCCATGTAAAGAAGGGACCTACCTGCATGGAGGGATCCCATGTAGCAAACTGATCAGACATGGTATCAATAAACAGGGCATAGTAGCAAAGAGCTGAGTGGGCAAGTAGGCCTTGATTCTGCTTCTAGCACTCCCTTGCCATGTGCCACTGGTCCTCAAGGCTAGCTAGCCACCATGGTAGGCTTCACTCCCCATCTGACAATGTTCACATGATGTTAGTTATACAAAGGGATTCCCCACGCTTCATCATAATTATTGTCATTAATCAAGGACTCTCAAGAGAAAGGAATATTACTAATTTAACCCTGCTGTAGGGCCAGGAGTGCTATCTGATAGATGTCCCTGCAGCAGCTAGAATGAATAGGTGATGAAAAATAAGACAGGAAAAACAAAATGGACTAAAACTTTTCCACAAAGCATGAAGCAGCCAATGGTAATGCCAAGTTTGGTGTTCCACTGTCTGATTGGTCCCACAAGAATTTAGTTATCACGTCTGTGTGATTTCAAAAGGCACCAAGTCAGACTTCATGGTGGGTCCTAGCTTAGCCATGAGACCTTGAGAAAAAAAAAAGCACAAGAGAAACAAACGCAGACAGAGGCGGGAACAGCACAGTCACATCAGAGTTGAGAATTAACTGTTCTGAAGCAGGTCCCTGCAAAGCTGATTTCACCAAAACAACCTCATTTGCATTGTTCCTGGAGGAATGCTGACATTGGGAGATCATTCCCCTGGAAATCTCCAGCCTGCATGTGCTGTTATGCAGCAATAACAGTAAGTGGCTGGTTGACAAAAGCCAGGGACTCCAAGCTGAAGGCTCAGGCTGCACTCTTACTGCATGCTGCAGGACATAGACTGAAAGCACGGCCCCCACCACTTTAAATTTCCTGGGGCTGGAACACTGTCCAGCAATTTCATTTCCTTAACCTATTTGCAATCATTTTTGTAAGCCTCCAACCTGTTTCTCTGAAATAGGAGTGCTACAGTTCTGGGTTGTTTTTATTTTATTTAGTTATATCTTTGCTTTTTGCTATTTTTTTTCCCCTAAAGGAAATTATCAGAGTGGAATTGTAAATACAAACCACAGTATAAGCAGATCACTTGGAAGGAGGCTGTCCTGGCATTTTCATGCTAAAGTGAACCTCTCTGAGAGGCAGCCATTGCCTCGGCATTGCAGTGGCCCAGTGTCCTGCTGAGGTCTTAGAGGCAGGTCCTGGACTCCAGTGCAGTCCCTCAGGAGGCGGTATGTGCGAGACTGGTTGGTGTCAAGGCCTTCAACCTGGATTTGCATGGGGACTCAACTGACCAAAGGCTCTGGAACAAAAAGAAGGTCCATGAATCCCTGATCTCCACTCCCTGAAACAAGAGAAGACATGAGACCCAACACTGGAAGGTCTTGCTGAAGGGCAGCTACGTAGGGTAAGATCACGCAGACACATTTCCTTAGCACTCTGGGTTCTGTCGGCCTTTCTGGGACTCTTGGCATCATCTGAAGTGTAACTAGAAAGTTCTCAAAATGCCATTATTGATCCATAGTGAGAACCTACTACCTAGTGAGCATGGTGACGGGGAGTAAACAGACAGGGATAGATATTATTTGCTTGCTATGAAAAGAATGCCAAGATTCCTGCTTTAATTTATATAACATCAAAGCCGTATCAGTCAATCACTGACCAAGCTCAAGATCCCACTGTGATCAGAAGCATGTGGAAAGCTTTGTTAGTTGCTGAGCTGCCTTGTTAATACAGAGTCCTGAGGCCTCCTGTCAAATATTGTGAATCAATAGGGATGCAAGTATTGACTGTGGCTCCCATAAGGTTGTGGGAACTGGTGCATTTTGTGTGCAAGTCATGAATTCTTGGGGTGGAATTGTTATTTTACTGTACCACCTGTTGGATGGTGTGAGGGAGACAAATGGCTAGAAAGAAGGAGGGAGGAGGCAGAAAGGGACAGGCAAGGAAAGAGGGCGGCAGAGTGGGGGGCAGAGAAGGAAGGGGACAAAGAGAAATACCAAAGGGAGGAGAAAGTGGGAGGGAGAAAGAGGGACAGAGGGAAGGAGGAAGGAAAAGAGAGGAAGAGGAGGGAAGAAGCAGAAGGCAGGAATCCACCCTGAAACTTTCTCATCCTTTTCCACTTAGAAAAATACTAAAGCACACACATCCTGGGTGGGGTGAGGAATCACAGCTTCTTTTTGTTTGTTTTTCCTGACCCTAAACCAATGATTCCACAACAAGGAGAAGAAAAGGAATATCTAGGGGTCCTTCTCCGGTTTGGTAAAAATATTTGTCTAGGCACTAGGGCCTACAAAGGCTAGAAGTATCACTTAAAAAAAAAAATCGACGAGGGATGCTCAAGGTGAGTGATCTTTGCATTCATGGAACACTAGGCTTTCCCTCGGCCAGCCTCACCTCTCGTGGTCCTTCTCCAGGGCCTGTTGCTCTGTTGCCTGCAGGCCGGCGTGGAGCCGGGCTTGCTCTTTGCTGCCCTGCAGGGTGGCAAGCTTCTGCTTCTGTTCTTCAATTTCCAAGCCCAGGGCGGAGCGCCTCCGCAGGGCTGAGTGCCTCCTCTCCAGCTTGGCCACAGCCTGTTCCAGCGCCTCTTTCTGTTGCTTCTCCTGGGAAGCCAGAATCTCCTTTTCCTTTCTCCTTACTTTCTCCTCCTGCCGGGCCACGTTAGCCGTGAACTCAAAGGTGGCTTGGAGCCTCTGCAGCTGGCTGGTGCTGGCTTGGTATCGAGCGAGCTGTTCTTCTTTCTCCTCCATCTCTTTCTCGACTTGATAAAGAATGGTGTCCAGGCTCAGCACGCCTCTGTCGAGGATTTCAAACGCTCTCTGCTTTTCATCCAACAGCGCTGGCAAATGGTTCTGCAGGAGGTACTGCAGCTGGCGTTCCTTATATTGCAGCCTGCTCTCCACTGGCTTTATTTTCTCTAAATCTGGAGCTGCGTGGGCGACCTCTGCCACCTTCTCGTCACTTTCTGCCAACACACTTGACTCTTCATCGTCATGCACACATTTTAAATGCCCCAGGATTTCCTGGTCCTCCTCAACTTCTTTCCTCAGGAGGTCTTGCCGCTGGGCTAGGTCTTTCTCCAAATTCGCCAGCTTGACCAGTTGCCTTCTCTTGAAATCCAAGAAGCGCAGCTGGGCCTTCCTCAGCTCCTCCTCGCCGTCGCTGTCCCCTCTGGCCCCGGCCTCCCTCACGCGCAGGAGGGCCTCCCGGATTTCGTCCAGGTCCTTCTTCTCCTCCTCTGCCCGCTGCACCTCGCCAAGCCGCAGGAGCTGGGTCATCTCCTGCTTCTCTCGGAGCTGTTCCTCGAGCTGGGCCACAAGCAAGGTCTGCTCCCTCTCTTGCTCCTCCAGCCTCCTCTTTTCCAGTTCCAGCTTGGCACGCTGCTCATCTTTTGCCCTCTGGAGCTGGTCCAGCTCTTGAAAGATCTGAAGCTTCTCGCTGCTGTTGAGTTCTTGCAGCCTCTGCAGCTCGGCCCTGAGGCGGAGAAGGCCCTCTTCTTCCTGCTTCTTCTTCTGCAGCTCCACCTCTTGCTGCTCCCGGAGTCTCTCCTCTTCGAACTTCTCCTTCTCGGCGAGCAGATCCTTGAGCCTGTTCTCGATGTGGAAGCTGCGCCGCTTGAGACTCTCCTCCTGCTTGCGGATCTGACGCTGCACGATCTCCGTCTCCTTGCGCTGCGTCTCCACCTCCTGTTGCATTCGCTCCAGCTCGGCCTTGTCTGATTTCTGCTTTTCCTCCATTTCTTCTATGAGTTTCCTGCAAGGCCAAAGGTGGACCAATCACTGTTTGACTATTATGTCTAGAGGGGGCGCTAATGTTTCCTTGACTAGAACATTCTGGAAAAGGTATATATATATATATATATATATATATATATATATATATATGCAACACAGAGCCAGACCCATCACTCGGGTGAAAGAGGAGGGAGGCCTGTCCTTTTAAGCTTTCAGCAGCGTGCTGTTTAATATTTTTTATCCTCTCACTGTCCCACCCATCACCAGCCTGGTCTTCCGAAGCAGCCTGATATCATCTCTTTGTAGAGTCATAATCATAATGTGTTACGCATGGCAGAATTGAAAAAGCCCCCTGAGCTCAAAGAGAAAGAACCATGGCCAATTTAAATTTAAGTGTGATAATTTTATTCAGCCCAATGACTAGAGCTCAACAGAAGTTCGCTATGTGATGACATTAAATTAAAACACACACACACACATCTACTGTCCTTAACTCACTGGGGTCAAATATCAAAGTCAAGATAATTGACAATTCATTGTTATGGCTCAAATAACTACATGCTGTTTAGCATTTAATCACTGGTTTAGGTCAAATGGTGATCACCAGATGGTCCAAAATATTAGTTTATTAATGGAGTAAATGATAACCAGACTCTCCATTAGAATTCTCAAATGCATGATTCTAGAAGTTTCATGTTATGCACTGGTTCACCCCTCAAATGTTCACAATGGCTCCAACTGGGGAGCTGAAGCTAGGGGCCAGGAACCCTGCCAGGTCGCCCAGTACCTGGGAGGAATGCAGTCGCCTGAGCCATCCCTGCAGCTGCTCAGTGCCTGCTTAGCAGGCAGGTGGGGCCGGAAGCAGAACACAGGCCTGACTGTGGGGGTGGAGGGGATCTTAACTCCTGGGTCAAACTCCTGCCTCTCTCCTGGTTTATTGTCCTTTCCTTCTTTCACTCCTGCATTTGTTTTGTTGTTGTTTTTTTTTTTACTTTTTTTTTTTTAACTAAGGGGATATTATAAAGAGATGATATAGTTCCAAGCTAATTTTAAGCAAATATTTGATATACTAGATTTCATCAATGTAGTAAAACTGCCTTTCTCACTCTGTCTGCCACCTTTCTCAAAGACATTTTTTTTTTTTAAACTAGAAACGTGAAGTAAAATGTAATACAAAATAATAGCCATAGGAATTAGATGTGTAAATTACAATGGGGATCAAGAAGATGGAGGAATTTAAGCAGATGTGGATAAAAGGAGCCCAGAGACCAGAGCAATATTGGAACTCAAGTTCAATGCCTTACCTTTTACTTTCTAATTTCTCAAGTTCTTCACGCTGTTGCCTTTCAAATTCAAGTCTAATAAAACCAGATGAAAATGAGTCATTTCTTGGGAAACAGCTTTTGTTTTTCTCACTCTGTATACAGACAATCACATGTTACAAGTAGAGCATTGGTCTTTTATGTTCTGTTGTTAATATCATGGATTAGCAAGTTTAAAGTAATATTATATTATTTGTTCTAGGACATTATGACTAGATATTCACTACAAATTTGAGTACTTTAATTCAGACTTAAAAGAACAAAGATAACACAAAGAAAAAACAAAACTTCACTGTATTGATAAAACAGATTTAAATGAGGATTCTAAGTGATAACCATGTCTATCTACTTCATGCAACTTAGTCGCTGGTGAATACATTAAAAAATGGAGAATTTCTACCTTAGACAGATGGGTCCTTTTATAGGTAAAAGACTGCCAGGGAGGTAGAGAGAGAAAAAAAGCATACACGTCAATTAGGAAAAGAATTTAACAGGAGGGAAACATCAGGAGAAAACCAATCAGTACTTCAAAGCTAATGGCCATGTACAAATTGAAACAGCTCTTTATAAATAACCTGTGATAAATATTTCATAAAGCCCACATTCTAAAAAGTTAGCTCTATTGTGTCTTGCACTTTTCCTGACTATCACAGTAGTGAAAACAACAACAATGATTGTGAAGAGAAAGTCATATATTTACGGCCTCAGGCTTGTACTGCAGGCACCTTTCATCTAGATCAAACTGTAATTAGCAGTCATGTCCTATAGGAGTTACTGAACGTTATGGGGTCATGAACAGATGCACCATAGTGATAGCAAAGCACAGGGAGGTAGTTGTTGGAAAATGTGAAACAAAACACTGAAATATTTGTAACACAGGCTAATTTCTTCTCCAACATTAGACTTCACCAGTGCAAAGGCTCTCGGTTCCTAGTAAAGATTTTGAACCTATTATATAATGTCCTGTTGTGGAAGATGGAAAATAGTTCTAAAACAAATCACTATAAATAGTTTTCCTTGGATAATGTGCAGATGTAGACTGGCTACTGAGTGACTTTTTACAATGATCTGACAAATATCTCAAGGAGATCACTTTCCAAAGTGCTGTCTAAGGACCTAGTAAGCAGAACAGCGAACCTATACATAGCAGGTGCTGGGCTGTGTTGGAAGTATCATCCTGTGCCTTCCCAGCAAACTTTGAGTGCAGCTAATGGTGCCATAGTTTTACAGATGAAGGATTCAAAAGTAGGCTATGCTAACCTATCCAAGGTTAGGGTGGTAATATGTGGTGGAGTCAGGACTTGAACCCACACTAGCCTGGTTCCAAAATGCCCTCTATTAACTTGTTTTTTAAGGAATACTCAAATTGTGACATTTAAAAGATTATGAATGTTTCTCTGAAACTTGCTGACTAGGGTTATATTTATCTTCCTTCCGAATGAAAATAATCTGCTGCTTATTTTAAGCATTGCCATCCACGAGAAATCAGTCACTTCTGAGAGATCTTCAAAAAGGTCATAGGAAATGTATATTATGAAAAAAAATATGCCTGAGTTTCAAAATTAGTTTGCACCAAAATAAACTTATCTGTTAATTCCATTTTGCCATGGATCTTTTGAGCCACTTTTGTACTTACAAAAGCCATTTGCCAGGTCACTGACCCAAACTTACGCACCATTAAGCAGAAAAAAAGACTTCATTAACAGTGATACATAATCATTCCTTTTCATGTAATAAAGAGAACTTTGGGGAACCTAGTCAATATTTTCGCATTTCAGTGTAGGTTAATCATCCCAAAGATATTCACAGTCCTTAGGATCAGGAGATAAGACACTTCTAAAGCCAGATAATTTATGGGAATACCTTTCTTCGAAGCATTGCTATGACAGTTACATGTACTTCATCGTAAGCCAGACGCCACAGGTCACATGGAAAATTGAGTACTTAGGTGAAATCCCATCACTGAAGGACTGCTTACAACACCTAAGGTTCTTGGCTTGACCCACTGCAGGCACTACTTGCATTTTGTTCTCCAAACTTTAGAAGGCTGGAAATTACCATCTCTCATTTTACAAAGCTGGAAACTAAGCCCTGGAGTATGTGAGCAGCAGAGGGAGAGCTTGGACCCAAGTTCAAAGCTTGTGCTGTCAACCACCACAGTTGCAGCTAACAACCTGTATGATCTCTAGATCGTAAAATCTGAGTGTTAACATACACAACATATAATGGCAAAATTTTAACTGAGCACCACACTTTGTTGTTGTTAGCACAGAGTCAGGCCATGTGTTAGAAAGATGTGACTTCTGTCCACAGTGTTTCTGATCTATACACAACTGCCAGGAGCAGCTGCTGGTCCTAGAATTCAGTAGCACCCAGGGAGAGCAAAGTCTGCAGCCTTATTCCAGGCGCTGCCTGGGCCATTCTTCCCCACACGATACAGGAACTCAAAAAAAATTCAATCAAGCTGGATCTTAGTGGGAGAAGTAGTGAGACATAAAGTATACAAGGACAACAGATGCCAGATGATGGAGGGCTTTGGAAGCTGTATAAAATTTTGAACTTGATCTTCAAGAATGAGTCAGAAATGCATTTTGGAACAGAGTTGCTCAAGGAGATCATGGATACCTGATGCTGTTTCAAGACTGGATGAGGGTGGGGAGCGCCACCAGTGTTGGGAAGCCAGGAGACAGATTAGGAAGCTGTCACAACATTTAAATAAAGGATGATGCACAGAGAACACAGACAATGGGGATAGAGAAAGGAATCTTCTAATATTCAGGATCTGACAGAACTTGTTACCTTGATGAAGTCTGGTGTTGGAAGTGACAAGAAAGCCAGAATCAAAGTTTAGCTCCAGGCTTCTGGCCAAGTTGCATAGGGGAAGAGGGAGGGTTTTGGCACCTACTAACCTTGAAATGACCTTTACTGGTTTGGGGTCAGACTGCAGTATGTTGAAGAGTGAGAGGGAAGTATGAGGAAACTGAACATAAATTCAGAGGAACATTTTCTTGGCAATTTCCATTGGGAAGAGGAAATGGTAGTTTTACAAGGATCAGTTGACCAGATCTAAGACACTTGTACATTTCTAATTGTGGTATATACAAGGCAGAAAGAGAGAGAGAAAGAGAGAGAGAGAAAATAGTGTTAGAACTAGGACAGCCCAGATCAAATTCTGGCTCCTATTTGACTCTTCCTATGCCTTGGTTTTTCATCTGTAAACAGACTCAGAAGGCATCCTGATGTACACTAGGTAGGGCAACCCGAGAGATCACACAGGGAGCTCTCTGCCACTGACAGTGTGAGTTATCAGCCCCATAGGATCCATAGCACAAGCAGGGGAAGCTACTTTGAGAAAGGCAACAGGGGTGCCCTGATGCGGGGACAACAAGCAATTAGGAAAGGATGCATGGAAGCAGATGTGGGACTTGAGGTTCTCATTCTTTACTCTCTGTGAGGTCAGAAATAGCATCTGTGCTAAAAACAATGAAAAGCAGAAATGTGTTCAATGGTATAAGGACTGGGGCATAATAATTGGCATAATAACGTGGACAGGCCAACGTGGACAGGGGAAAGAATTGACAAAGAAAACGGACAGAGGGCTGAGCGCGGCAACGTATTCCTGAAGCGTGAGGAGGCACCGAGCTCTGCTGATGTGTTTTTCCCAAACAGCACTGAGCTCTGACGCCTGACCAGAGGCTGAGGCAGGGAGAGTTCAGAGGTCTTGGAGCTGGGATGTGGGAATGTAGAATAGAAGGGCCATTTAAACATTTGGGAAGGGGACTCCTCAAGTATTGGGATGAAGATCTGACTGGACAGGGAAGTAACTGGGGACAAGACAAGGTTTCAAAAGAAAGACAGGCATTGAAGACATCTCTAGGCTAAAGCAGTGGGTACTACACAAGTAACTGTATTGTAGGATGAAGTATCCACCACAGAATCTCCCAAAGTGACAGCTGATTTCAGGAAGATGGTAAACGACTCAGGAGAAGACACATCTGGAAGGGAAGAAGATGGTAACAAGAGCAGATAAAGCAGATGACATAAGTGGAATAGATGAGAGAGTATCCTACTGGCACAGAAAAGTTGTCTGGGAGCAGTTTGGAGAAAGGGCTAAGAGTTTTGGGCCTGAGAAAACCACAGGCTCCTATTAGGAGTTTTCATTCCAGGATACTTGATTGGGCTGGAATAGGGAAGAGAAATTGAACTTGGATGTATGGCAGCTGCCAACCTCAGATGCTTGAGGCCACAGCTCTGGCCTCTCATGAGAAAGCACTACTTCAAGTTTGTGACCTGCTTCTATTTTTAAGTATTTATTTCTTTTAAAATCAGTTACAGAAAGAGAGATGGAGACTGATCTATTTCCATCTGTTGACTTGCTCCACAGACGACTGCAAAGACAAGGTTTGAACCAGGATGAAACCAGGATTCATCTGGGTTTCCCTTTTGGATGCCATAGGCCCAAACACACGGGCCATTCTCCACTGTTTTTCCCATGCATTAGCAGGGAGCTGGATTGTAAGTGGAGCAGCTGGAACTTGAACTGGCACCCAAAAGGAAGGCTGGTATCACAGGTGGTGGCTTTACATGCTATGCCAATTCCCTGTGACCTGTTTCTAAACAGATAAAGCTTGGTTGCTATCAAAAGCAGTAAGTCTTGGATAAATAATGATTCACATTTCCTCAAATATAAGCCAAACAATTTAAAGATAAAAAAAAATAAAGATTTTCAATCTTAAGACGAAGTCACATACAGTACAAGGGTGAGTCATAATTCCAAAGTTAGGGACTATATTATAAATAAGTGGGGATATGAGTTATTGCTGATACTGTATAATGACTGTTAATTATTATATATCTACTAATTATACTTTAAAATGCACCTCTTTCCATAATCAATGATAATTATGTGAGATGGAAAACCTCAATAGATTATGAAATATAAATGTGAGTGCAGCAGTATCAAGAAAAGAATATTAGCTATAATTATATTTGGATACAGCTTCACTAAAATAAGTGTAATTTACCATCTTACTTTCCTGGAATTATTGTGGCTTACAAATGCTAATTTTCTAAGTGCTATAATTAAAAGGAAAACAACAAAAAGATGTACTTTCTGCAGCTGTTTTTAGCATTTTAACATGACAGGTGGAAATATATAGACTGCACTAGGTCCAACAAAAAAACGCAGCAACAATCTATTTTTATCAGAAATTCCCTTTTCTTCTGCATTAATAAACTACCATTTTAAAAACTTAATAGGCATCTGCCATTTTTCTGAGATTTATTTATTTGTTTCTTTGTTTGTTTTAAAAACAGTGTGACAGATAGGGAAAAACAGAAAAATAAACAGACAAACAAAAAGTTCTTTCAGCCACTGGTTTAATTCTGAATTGGCCCAGACAGCCAGGTTTGGGTCCGGCTGCAGTCAGGAGC